GGCTAGAGAAGGGACATGCGCCAGCAAGAACAGTTGCTTAAGCATGACATGCTCTACACTCATGGCAAACAGGATCCTCTGTCTACAGTTCAAAACTCATGTAAAATGTTTAATGTACTTTAAGAAAGAGTGCCACATTGATCATTTAGACAGCTAGCCTTTTCTACTGTAACTTCACTCTCTTGCTAGTTATTGGCTACCATATGCTTTATAAGAATAGATTTTGATCTGATCTATGATACTACAGGCATGGGAAAAGCAGGATGAAAAAACAGTGCACTGTGTTTGTATAAGAGGGAGGTACTGTAATGAGTAATAAATTAAACATTTCAAAAATCCTGCTTAGTAAGGCCTTTGCTGGAACACATTAAAATGCACTGTTGTCAGGGTAACCTTTTTTGGTTGAAAAATGTTTACTGCTATAGGTCACAGAATTGTCTCCCTCTTTAAGTTAAGAAATAAATAGTTCTTTGATGACACGTCCAGATAATGATTCACTAGTCTAAGGGCTTCACTAATGCAAAAAACACAGTTGCCTTTAACGGTGTCCTCTGGAACAAAATTTGGCAGCCACCAAATCCAAACACCCCACCACCCCCATTTTTTCCCCTATATTTCTTCAATTTCTTATCTACTTTCACCTGCTCACTGGTGACTTCCCATCCCACTTCTCAGCACTAGAAATTCCCGAACAGTCCCTCTGTCCAAAGCTGAACACAGATTAAAAGTGTAAGAGGGATTTAACACCTGGCAGCTGTAGCCAAGTTACCACATCAACTATGGTAGTCACAGATGGAATCCTCTGCAGTAACATTTTCAGGTTGAAATACAAAGATTCACTTCCTATGAAGAGACTGAGTAAACAGTGTTAAAATAAGCCAAAAATGTAAGTGATAGGAAAACAGACAGTCTCACTGCTTGCAGTATTCTCTAGACAACTTCTGCTAAAATGAAGGTATGGATAAGACTGCAGCACATATATGGAAATCCTCAGGGACTTTCCCAGCTCAAGCTGAATGCAAGCTCACTGTGATTCAGTGCTAAGCACACAGAACCTCAACACTGGGTATGATAGGCTTACTAGGGTTGCCCAGCTTTTCGAAAGTATATCACTACAAAATAGACTTATACCAAAAAGGTCTGGCAGGGCTGTTTAGACACTCCTCTAAACTTTCCTTGCTTCGAGGTGCAAGCAGAACACATTTGATATTTTACTACCTCAATCATACTTGGGTTGGGGTGATCTGTTGGCAAAATCCTCTTAAGCCAACCCTAAAAATATAGTTTATTATTGCAGGCTGTGGTGAGAAGGGGTCAAAGTGATACTTTTTAGTGGCTTTGGGCATCATGCAGGACTAGAAAGAGATGCAGAATTGGTGCTCTGTCACAGACCTGCTGTATGATCTCGGGCAAGTCACTTTCCACACCACCTTTTGCCTGCCTGGCTTATTTAGACGGTAAGCTCTTCGGGGCAGGGTTGTCATTCACTCGCTGCACAGCACCTAGCGCAATGGGGTCCTGATCTCAGCTGGAGCATCTAATTATAAACAGGTCTGCAATTCAGGAGAGGTGAACTGGGAGAGATTTATGGAGCTCATGCCAGGACCACCACGTGGAGAGAGCATCTTAGTCCCACGTATCCCTGGCTCAAGGCACTACCATGAGTTCCTTGACTTCTATAGTACTAGTTCACTCATGTTTTAGAAAGACAGAAAAAAAATTAAGGACTGTTTTTTATGTAAGTGTCCACTGGTTTGGTTTTATTTTTGGCACAGCCCAGTGAGCTGTCATAACTTGACGTAAGACAAGGTCTTCAATTCTTGTCCATCTTAACATTGGTATAAGCACGTGGCCAGAACAGTGTTCTAATTGGATCCAAGCCCAAGGAAGCTATGTAAACTTTTAAGTGCAATGTTTAAGGACAAATCTCCACTGGAGGGAGAGAGACACGCATTATGCAGCTGTTAACTTTGCAAGAATTCTCAGTCCCAGAGCCAAGCATTTTGAGTAAGTTTTTTAAATTACACGCCCCTCTACCCCTAAAAAAACAGGGCTTTCTGACTTTCAAGTGAAGATCACACATTTAAGGATTTGTTGCTGCCCCTGCCTCCTCAAAACTTTGAAAAAGTCTACTTAGGGACAGAGAGGGATTTGGAAATTACTTCAGTGTGGTGAAGAAAGAATACCAGTCACCGGAAAAAGCAGCTGGGATCAGCAGGGAATGCCACTGTGCAGAAAAGGAGAATAAACAGAGGAATGAAACTTAAAAGAAAAACAAAAAAACTTACTTAGGGGCAGAAACAATGCCCATCAACAATGATTAAGTAGGGTGTGGAAAATAAAACTTATTTATGTAATGCAGATCTGGTTACAGCATGAGGGTCGATCCAATGACCCGATTTCACTTTCCTGTTCCTAATCTTTTATGCCAAGATGAAGAAAAGAGGGCTTGCTGAAAATGTGTTTTCTTCTGACAGTCTCAAAATACTTTAAACATCGATGCCATATATCTATAGCCTAATGAGCTTTTCAAACTACCAGGCTTTGCCTGCTAGCTAGTGAAAGTTACACTTCAGGAGAAGGACTGTAGAGGAGGGCAACACTTAGCATTTCGAAGTCAATATGGGTCAGAGCACCACTGATCGGTGTTTGAGTTAATGCTTTTACAGGAGCTTCAGAATCAGTCATAGCAGCTATTTCTCACCCTCAAGATTTTTATCTGGAAATGCTTCTCATAATAGCACTCTCACGGAGAGAGCCCTGTGTTCCTTGTGTAATTCCAGATGGAAGGATCTTGTTAAAAAAACACCTTGCAGCATAAAGTAATTACCTTCTTGTTCTTTGATCATTAAAATGGGGAAAAAAACCCTTAAGAATTGCTAGACCAGACTGATGAGCCCATAAGGCCAGAACTCCATCTCAGATTTTGGCTAATGTTGGATGCTTCAGAGAAGGTACAAACTCCACGTGAGACTTCAGACTGCAACATAAAAGAGGTTAGCGGAATTATTTCTTCCATCTAATGGTCACTTTAGGCCATGAAGCGTGAGGGTTACTAGCCCTCACTTTATCTTAAGTAGTTAAATCACAGTTTAATTTAATATAGCATTGCATATGGTGGTCCAAGCAGATCCAAAGGAACAAGTTATTTTGGCAGTTGTGCCAATCTCATTACAAGGAAGGCAGCAGGCGCGCAAATTACTGACTCCCGACCCGGGGTGGTAGTGACGAAAAATAACAATACAGGACTCTTTCGAGGCCCTGTAATTGGAATGAGTACACTTTAAATCCTTTAACGAGGATCCATTGGAGGGCAAGCCTGGTGCCAGCAGCCGTGATAATTCCAGCTCCAATAGCATATATTATTTAGGGGGAGGGATAGCTCAGTGGTTTGAGCGTTGGCTTGCTAAACCCAGGGTTGTGAGTTCAATCCTTGAGGGGGCCATTTAGGGATCTGGGGCAAAAATTGGGGATTGGCCCTGCTTTGAGCAGGGGGCTGGACTAGATGATCTCCTGAGGTTCCTTCCAACCCTGATATTCTATGACAAATTAAGCACCAGGGCTGCAACCACAACAAAACTTGCAGTATTTGTGTTGCTGATGAATCATGCTGGTGATTATTTATTTGCTTGGCCCACTATGGTTCTTCATCAGAGTCATCAAATTTAAGGCCATTCCCTTTTTGTGTAAAAACCTAATGCCACTTTGTGTCGGGCTTATCTCCAGCTTCTGCCCTTATTAGCCTATAGAAATGAACACAGGTGACCACACACACTACACTATACTGTTGAATTCTTGCTGTGCAGTACAATTTCTGTTCCAGAATAAACAGAGCCATGTGGCGAATACAGAATGGAGACTTAATATTGTTTATGGGTTATACTTAATCTATCACTGTAAGGGTTTTCAGGTACGTCAGTATAAATCCAAATCAGGATGTAAATGGACAATGCGATTCTTCATTGCTTGGTGTTTTTTGTGCCCGGAGAAGGGGAGAGAGAAATGGAGAGTATTTCTTCACACAATGCAGTCAACCTTTGGAACTCCTTTGGCAGGGGATGTTGTGAAGGCCAAAACTATAACATGGTTCAAAAAAAGAACTAGATAAGTTCCTGCAGGATAGGTCCATCAATGGCTATGAGCCAGAATGGACAGGGATGCAACATAATGCTCTGAGTGTCCCTAGCCTCTGTTTGTCAGAAGCTGGGAATGGACGAGACAATGGATCACTTGTTTGTCTATTCTGTTCATTCTGAGGCACCTCGCATTGGCTATTGTTGGAAGACTGGATACTGGGGTAGCTGGACCACTGGTCTGACCCAACGTGGCCATTCTTATGAGACTAAAACTAAGACTACATGCCACTGTGCCTTAGTTTACTTGTCTGTAAAATGGGGATAATGATACTGACCTCCTTCGTAAAACTCAGAGATCTATTGGTGAAAAGTGCAATATGAGAGCTGGGTATTACGAAGGTTATGGATTTTCCAAATTTATTTTTACTTCTGGAAAGCTAAAAATGTTAAACCATGAAGTCTCTAGGATGAAAACAATTCATCAAGATTAATTTTAATATTTTCTGTAATACAGAATTATTTTCTGTATGAAGGAAGAAAATCCCATTTAAAAAAAAGGTCACTTTTGATTGGTTAAGAAACCAAAATAGGAAGTGTTTAAGAACCCAATATTCACAGGGTTTTGCTGATGAATACATTAATAGCACTTACTTTCCTTATTTACCACCCAGACTAAGCTCAGTGTTGTGAAAATCGCTGTTGCCACCAATACCTAAAGTAACGCAAGTGCTGCAGGAAATGCAGCTTCTTGCTCTGTTGAAGGTCTTACTGCGACGTCAACTGACTGTTACTGGAGACACCAAAATCCTAAAGCTGGCTCTTGGCAGATGAGAATACTCTACTGTTCTTTGCTATACTTCTGTGCATTTTGTCAGGTAGTTTATGTAGCTATAGGCAGAGATGCTACATCGGAAGTCACTGTACCTCTGTCACTAAAGTCATCCACCAGCACAATTTCTGCTATCAGCTCAGGAGGGGAGCGATTTAGGATGCTGTGCACTGTCCGGAGGAGAGATGACCATCCTTCATTGTGGAATGGGATTATCACGCTGGTGTTTGGGAGCTTCTCCAGGTACAGCTTGTTATTGCAGCTAGACAGGGATGAAACAAGTTATAAACATACCAAGTAAACAGACACTGTCACATTTCTCACAAATGCACGCAGCAAAGAATGTGCAAAAGCTGCTGGAACGTCAGCATCTCCTCACAGGGACTTGCATACGGTTTTGTTGTAGACAGCAATAGCAGAGATGCCAGCCTTGCACTCAGACTTTATGGGATGCTTATGAAAAAAGTTAGGGAGGAATTAGGGAGATTACTTGGATCTCTTCCTTTTCCCAACTTCTCTCCCCCTCCATCCCCTCCCTATGTACGGCCAAGGAGAGGGTCTGGGCTTCCCCCCCATTTTGCTCCAATCCCCACCCCTGAACAGGAGAAAAGGAGGACTGACTCTAGGACAGCTGACCTCCTCTGCCCCTAAGGCCTTTAATTACCTTGGCCATTTGCGGGCCTGGCTGCCTTCCTGGGATGATCCTCCTCTTCTTCTCCATCCTCAGTTGCATTACCTCTTTCCTCCTCTGCTGCCTCCTCCTCCTGCAGCTTCTCCTCCTTCACTGACTGTGCAGTGAGGGTTGAATAGGAGGCAAGCCACTGTGAGAGTTTGTGGATTTTGGGGTGCTGGATTCACCACCCGAGTCACAGGCAGCATGCTGCATTCTTCCCCATGTGGACCCTGCTGGTACCGAGAGTGCACTAGCAGGGTCCACACAGGGCAGTCAGCATGCAACATGCAGCCTGTGGCTTGGGCGGTGAATCTAGCAGAGCCCCGACCCGTTCAAAATCACCGTGGCTTGCCTCCTGTCAGATCCTTACTGTGCTGTCGGAGCATCAGTGGAGAAGAATGCTGCACACTTCCACCTCCACCACTCCTGGTGGCCACAGCGCTATTTGACGTATTCATTGAACCAAAGTGGTGGTAAGTCTCACACACACACACTATAAAATGGGTGCTTGCAAAATTAGCACATTGAAGCCTAAATTAGTAATTTTGTAATTACAAGCACAAATTGGGTGGATTATGGAAAATTAGGGACGGCTGGCATCTCTGCGATAGCAATGTAACAAAAATTCACGGATTCACGGTTCACTCTTATCTGGTGTATAATCCATTGCTTTCATATGATTTAACAACATTGACAGTGTCAAGCAATCACTATAAAGCACAGTATGGAAGATTTGCATTTACTTCCATCACTGTGAAAGCTTGTGAAACTCATGCTTGAGTCTTGTAAAAATCTTCTGCTGTGACAGTTCATTCAAGATAAATCACTGACTACTATTGTACAAGTTTTAGACAACGATTGCAATTTTATGATCAAGAATAATTGATCATTATTAGGAAAACATCTGTTGCCCATTTGTTCACCGTTAAATCTGCTAGTTACTGGGGGGAAGAAAAAAGCAGGACTGCAGATCAGCTACCTCCTCTAATTAAAAAAAAAAGAATACGACTACAAATAGTTTATTTGAAAGCTCTAGTGGCTCAACTTCATTAAAAACTCTTACTGATCCTCTCCAGCTACACCTGAACAGAGTCAACACAGAAGTACTATTCTGTTTACTACTAGCAGCTCCCAACAGTTGGCAAAGAGCAGATGAAAGCAAAGATAATATGGGAAGTTACAGGTGAGACAGAATAAGGCTATTTAGTCTAAAAGGTTATAAATGGGGAGGGGCTGGGGATAATCAGTGTCATATTTAACTGCTATCACTGTTAGGTTCGCAAACAAAGTTTATTCTCTCCAGGTGGTATTTCTACAATTCCTTTAAAAGCCCTCTAACATTAGCGTGCAATATAGCACAATGTCTTATTCGAATACTGTTTACAGCACACGAGGAAAGTGAGCAATAGAACCAGAAAGCTATACAGATGCTCCCCGACTTATGCAATCGTTCCGTTCCGGAAAGCCTTGCGTAACTCAAATTTCACGTAAGTCGGAAACGTACACCCGTAATTATGCAAAAGTTTCCGTGACTCGAAAATCCTATTTCTGGCTTACGGAGCTTTTCCGTAAGTGTGAATTTGAATAAATCGGGTCTTGCATAACCCGGGAGCATCTATACCTTACTGGTGCTCAAGGTGATCCAGCACTCTGTACCAGAGCTTCTATGTTTAACAGGCCAACACAAGCTGTATCTGGTGAGAACTTAAATCTATAACCTTCTGCCTGGGGCATATTCCTGAATATAAAACCAATTTCAGCTCCTATTCCAGAAATTAATGGGGTGGTATTAATTCAGAGTATTCTACAACATGCTCAGTTCTTTGGAAAATGCTCTTATAGACTTCATCTTACCCATTTACTTCATTATAAATTGCCCTCATCACATCACTATAAAACACTAGACACTCCATTTCCAAATACATCTTTTTAAGGAGGGGAAAATGCACACCAGAAACTTTTGGTCATTAGTGCCTTCATTTCAAGTCTCCTTTAAATATACCCTGGTTCACTTCTCTAGCTAATCCTAACATCAATTATATCCAGTACAGTTTATCCTCTTCTTGAGACTCACATAATTATAACTTGCTATGGTAAGGGAAGTTTAACTCAAGAAAACCAGCTGCATTGGTATCATTAGTCATAGCTTTAATTGTTGGTGACCCAGACACCTCACTTATTAATTTTAACTAGGGACCAGAGCCTGAAGTTAAACATTTTTAAAAAGTCAAAGTAACTGATTTCCGATTGCTAATTCTGCAACTTAGTGACACATTAGGGAACATGAGCCAATGCATTAATTCCTCAGGTACCATCTGAAACTTAAATTCTCAAAGCCCAAAACAATCCAAATAAATGCAGTTTAGCAGAGTTGAAGTTGCCTGAAGCTCAGTTATGTTCATAATGAGATAGCAAAGTTGAGACAGAAAAAGAAAAAATATTTTTAAAAAAGTCCTAGCTTCTAATTTGTTTGCAAGACTTCTAGATGAAATTACTGCCATCAAGTTTGAAAAAGCTTTCTATGGAAGAAATTTACACTCGAGTATTTAAAAAGATAAGTTTATAAAGTGACTAAGAACCATATACCCCCCATAATCAAAAGCACTCTGTGGCATTGTTTAGGAAAGGCTTAAGTCTTTCACGACTGCATGAACATGAAGGATTTTCTCCTTAGCAATTAGAGAAAAACGAAGTAAAATTTGATGCCACTCCACAGGAAAGACATCTTAGCTAGCTGAATTCAACAGTCAAAAGTAGTTTCTGACTAGAGCTACTTTGTGGCCATGCTTATAATCCCTAGAAAGAGAAGTTTATTATAAAGCCCTGAGTATCTGAGAAAATTCAATTCATAGACCCTTCACAATATGAGTCAATCTTTTTGGAATGCTCCAAAATTGGTTTTCCTTCCTAGATGTTTCAAGATTGTGAAACTTAGTTTGTGTCAGACTTCCAAGAGGAATTAATGGCTCATGGAACTGTACAGTCTCACTTCCAACTGGTCACTTATGCAAAAGTGACCCAGGTAATTAGTGACCAAGTCATTACCATCTGATGGCTCTTTGGTGCAGTTGTCAAGTGAGTTGGACATTTAAATCCAATTTCCAGTAGAGAAATGACCATAAAAATGTTGCTTTAATTGTTCTATGGTTGTGGCCATTTCAGTATACAATTTAATCAGCATGAAAAGTGATCTATGAGGCAGGAGGTAGCTACCTCCCGAAAGGGTTGAGGCTCCAACAGTACATAAAAATGAAATATAGAAATAGAATAAATTCTAGTGGGAATGGCAAATTAGGGCATCTAGACTTTCATTACCACAAATACCAAGTGTATACTCACTTTGGGTGCCTGATATCTGGAAGGGAGCGATTAAGAGAAATTTTATCGCTCACAAAGATATTAAAGCCATTTTCCCTGTATGCTTGGTCCACTTGCTCTGCATCAGTCATCGGATAAGGTTTTCCCTGCTCTCCATTTCCTATGGATAGATACAAAATAAACCTGTATCATCACGGCGAATCACAGTCTAAGTGGCCAGAGACTGACACAAAAGCAGTCATTTTTTCTGTGAAAATTCTTCCTTCAACAACACTGTTTGTACATAGTTGATATTCCGAGTTATAAGAAATTCTCAGCACTGGGTTCACTTCATCAATTTATTTTAATGGGTACTGTATATTTTGCTAGAAACACTCAGCTGTGCAAATATGAAACATTAAGCTCTTCACTCTGAAGCCAGAATTGAGGGGATTAGAGACTGATAGGACCAAAGCTGGATCCATTAGGTTTCTTTTGGTTTACAGATGTGAGTGCCTGTACATAGTATAAACATTTCTCATCTCAGCCTCACCCCCCATCCCAAAGCGGTTACTAACATTTAAAAGGGAAATCTTGGAAACATTTTATTAAGGTGAACAAGGCAGCCTTAACTTTACATTTCCACATGTTTGAGTGTCCTTCACCATTGTAACTCTTTTGTATTAGAATTTAAGCACTCCGAATTGCGTGTCAAACTATGGAAACAGAACAGATTCCTCTAGAATGGCAGCGCTTGTAGATTTTACAAAACAATGTTTCTCCTTTCATGGGTCCGCAATATTTGTCAGAACTGTAAAGGCATTTATAATTTTTTAAACAGCACCCACCCTTGAAGTGCCAATGTGCTGCCACCATCTTCTACTCAAGAGACTGGCGAAAATGCTTCTCATTCCCTGTCACTCATGAGCGGTACAGAGGCAGCTGATGTTGATCAGTGTTAAGAACATACGAGCATACTGTTCCCCCCCTTCAGTCTGCTGAATAAGGGACCACACCATTTTATGATCCACATTAGATACATTTATAAGTGTTGTTATAAGTTTATAAGCACATACCCGTGCACTCCAAGTCCCTCCTTATAGCTTCTTTATCATGCCAGTCCTTTTTCCTTTGTCCATCATCAAAGTAAACTTCTTTCCTTTTCCTCACATGCGAGCCCTTTTAATACACACAAGATTAGAGCCATTACACCTTTGAAACACATTTACCCATCCACATCAAAGAGAAAAGCCAATACCCACTTCTCCTTGCCCGAACCAGAACTTGCAGAAGGGGCAGCTTTTATTTGCAGCTATGTCCAGCAGAAGATTTTCCTTGCCCCAAAACACTGTTCTATAATTATCTTTAAATATGGTACAGCGGTGTAGGACCATACTTAAAATGAGCGTAATGTCTGTTAGTAAGGGCACCTTTAAATTGCAGTGTCCATCAAAAACTCATTTTCACATTAAAAGTTAACTGGTCTTATTTCCTATTTAACTAATAAAACTTTATAATGGGCAACCTATTTCAGAATCGTTACTAATTAGCATACAGTAGCACCTCAGAGTCATGAACACACGAGTTACGAACTGACCAGTCAACCACACACCTTATTTGGACCTGGAAGTACACAATCAGGTAGCAGCAGAAACCAACAAATAGAAAGGCAAATAAAATACCGTGTTAAAAAAAATAAAGGGAAAGCAGCATTTTCCCTCTGCATAGTAAAATTTCAAAGCTGTGTTAAGTCAATGTTCGGTTGTAAACTTTTGAAAGAACCACCCTAATGTTTTGTTCAGAGTTACAAACAACCTCTGTTCTTGAGGTGTTCTTAACTCTGAGGTTCTACTGTACTACCATATTGGAATAAAATTGGGGAAACAAAACTTGAAGAAGACTTCAGTCTCTCAATACTTAATAGCAAGTTTTCACATGAAACATGGCCCCTATTATCTATCCTTTTCACTGTAGCTTTCAAGTTTCAGGAACAATCATCAAGGGCATTTTTCTGGGGTGGGGTGAATAAAGGGCAGGGTGATACCTGTACAAGACATAGAAATTGTGGTATTCAGGGCCAGAGACTTAATGAATCTCACCCCAGGTTTCTCGCCTGAATTTTAGGGGACTAAATAAAATCTGAAAAGTTAGAGAAAAAGTTTGTCTGCCAATCATTCTCCATGTGATACTACACCGATATGTATAAATGAGTGCATTACTTGTAGAAACCACATCATAGAAACAGTTGTTTAGCAGACCTCAAATAGTATCTATAAAATCCTGGCTTTTTAAAATTCCTCTTGTACTGAATGGTGAATTCCATAGTATAGCATTATGCATTCCATTAAAAATAAAATGTACACTTTTCTATGCAGGAGAAATTTTAGAGTATAGATGGTATGTATGTGGATATATACATATTTGTGTATATGGAGAGTAACAGGGTGAAAAGAGGTTATTTTGTTTGCATCTTTTCAATAGAAAGATATATTTCCTTTGTTAAAAAGCAGACATGTGACAGCTTACAGTCTGTAAAGTAAGACACACAAAAAAGATGCCTTTAGATTAAAATACTTGCAGCAGAAATATAGTAAGAATATTAAGCATAAGCACTTCCAAATCATAAGCCTAGAGTTGCTCTCTCTCAAGTAATGCCCCTTCCCCTAAAGTGCAAAACCCCCTCCTATTATTCCATTATGAATGAGTCTGCTGGATTTTTTCCTAAACCTACTCCACAAGTTACACGTTACAATAAGAAATTTGCAAACACTTTGGTCCTCTTTCCACACTTCACAGATACAGCCTTGGAGACTTAAGGAATCACAAAATAAAAGCATGGCTGGGGCTAGTGCTTTGGATGTCATAATATTACTAACATTAACAGCTTCATTACTTCCTCTATACAGCAGGCGTCTACAGCATTCTACTGGGGGAGTGATCACAGGACATTCTGGACACACACAAAAATCTTGGGCCCAGCATTTTGCACAATCTGATAACAAGCCTGTTTTGGAGTCCCGTAACAGAGGCTCTTCATCTGTTTAAACAATTAAAATGTATGAACTCATCATTTTTATGCCTTCATTTGTCTTGGGAAAATTTTGTTCTTGGGAACATTTCATTCTTCTCTTTTTACCCCAATAAATATTCATAATTGAATGGGCACCAAAGTACTGTACTGCAATCTGCAACTATGGAACACGCATCCTAATACTGTGATCTAAGCCTTACTTAGTCTGTCCATCTAACAAAGTATAATTCGACCAAGCTAACATTTTTAGGACACCCAGACATGTCACTTGCAGTTCAAAGTGATGTCATGAGACTAAATCCCAATTTAATCTCACTAACAGCTGCCATTTTAACCCTAACCATATCTAATTGCTCTGCTGCACTAGTCACATCTATAGTTACCCATTCGTTTCCATGCATTACAATACAACAACAGAGCCTTTCAGTCTAGGATCACAAAATGACTTAAACAATCTTCAAAGCAGCCTGGTAAGATCAGGATTATACCTATTTTGCAGATGGGCACACAGAAGCATAGCTGAAACGTGGCCATCGCAGACAGAAAGGTCCTAGTTATGTGTTCTAACTACTAAACCCCATTTAATCCCCTTGAATAAAAATGTTTGCAAGGTAGTATATTGAATTTTTCACCTCTTGCTGTTAGCAATTGTAGCTTTACTTGCATGGTGCATGATGTCATGGAAAGCAAGCTGATGGGCGTTCAAAGAAAAGCAACAGCGCTGAATGTCTGTGGTCAATTTATGAGTAAAGATTAGGAGACTTAAGTATGGACAAGGATGCGGATAAGGATACATTCTCTGAAAATATTTATAGTGTGCAGACAGTAAGAAAAGAAAGGAATTATTTAGGATGGCATACAGCAGTATAACTACATCTGGGGATGTAATTAAGTAAAAACCTTGACAAATGAGTGCTGGTTAGACTGTTAAAGGGAAGCAGAAGACTTATTGTTTGGGACATTTAAAATTAACGTAAACAAACTAGTAGGAAAACTTCCTGTGGAGTAAATCCTGCATCGGCAGGGAGATAGACCAGGTGAACTAACAGATCTTTTTCATCTACCTTATGATTCTATAATTATTGCAGCCTATCTTCTCCATTTTTTTTGCATATCTTCCCACCACCAAAGGTGATGGCTCACCTTTTACTTTAAATATTGCTTATTGGAGAAAATGGCCTTTTCTCCCTCCCACCAATAAATATCCCTTTATCAGCCACTGATCTCCGTCCAAATGCAGAGATTGCTAACATATTTTCAGATATACATTTCACACCTATTAGGACACAAACTGAATAAAATCACCAACAATCTAACATTCCTCTCTAGCTAAATTTGTTGATGGACTAGGGTTTTTAAGAAGTATTAGGAATGTACCTTCTGCCCAGACTGTTTCACGGCAGCACGCAGAAACAAAACAACTAGTCTAGCTCTGAAATGCCAGGGCTTCTTCCCTTGAAGACCTGAGTGACAGCAACTGAATTAGCCCTTTCCCACAGGGCTATTTCTCACCTGCTCACCCCACCTGCACTCAGACAACGTGAAGATCAAATTAAGCTGCCTCAGCTGTATAGTGAACATTGGTGACATAGCAAAACATATGGAAGCCTTCTTGATCCATCACTAGCTTTGAGCACTCAGCAGCTGACCTTCCAGTGATCTGCCACATGTCATTCAGGTATTTTCTGGCTTGGCTGTCCCATACTATGGTGATTTGCCACCATTCCTTCCATGACAACTTTCTCAAAGGTAGCTACCTCAGGCACACAGATGAAAAAAAACAAAACACATAAGTGGATGCCCATTGACTTCCAACAGCAGGGTCTGCTTCTTTCCAATATTTTTAACCATTATTCATCTTTTTCGTCCAGCAGATACACAAAAGTTTTCACCAGGACCATATCTCAAAGACTTCAATTTTCTTCTTGTCAGCAGCATTAATTCCCCACAATTCACAACCATATGTAGGGGCAAGTGTAAGCAAAGAGAATACTCCTACTTTGCCTTATTTGGTTAATCTCAGGAGGTTATTAATAGATCTTATGATGGAGCAATTTGTAAAATTCACAAGTAACAGAAGAACATGTTACTGTCCATTCAGACCCCATTAGGGAAGGCGGCAGCACTTGGAGGGGACATGTGAAAACGAGGAGTTAAAACCCTGGAAAACTTATCTTCCAGATACAGTTTGTGACACTCCCCTTCAGATTATTTGACCCATGATGACGACAACATTTAATATTGGGTAATGAGCTGTAGCTCAGGCCTGCGTGTGATAGTTTGGTGTTTCTGAATAAAGGTCAATTGCTACATTCTACATGGACAAATCTTATGTGTTCTTCATCAAGAAGTGGCAGATAACATGAGGTGAAGACAGGAAGACAGGCCAGTGATGATGCAGGAGCAATAAAAATTGGAGTAGCTGAGTTATTTCTGGCACAGAAATCTGAATGAGTTTTCAGCATGACTAAGCCCACTTTGCTGTTCTGCCACAATGGGCAAAACAGTTTATCTTGTCTACCATATTTACTTCCAATTTTCCAGACAATATGCCACCAATATCAAACATCAGGCAGTCTCTCCAAAGTTCTCTTAAAATGCACTATTATATTACAGGATTTTTATTCTCTTGGCATACTGTTCAAAAAAGCCAGTTCTGCTCACTAGCCTCTCCCTATTTATCAGGGTGTTGCCTGCTCAATCCAAGTTATGGAAATGGTTGGCAAAATAGGAAAGTTTCCTTGCGGGTGAGGTGGTTTTCTTTGTTTTTTCATTTTCTTTTTAAACATGGCTGTGTGTGTGAACATGAGTAAGGCTCCATGTCTGTCACAGCGGTCACTGATTCTGTGACCTTCCATGACATCTGTGACTTCTGCAGCGGCCCGTGCAGCTGGCCTGGGCCACGAATTTTTGTTTATTGCCCATGACCTGTCCATGACTTTTACTAAAAATACCTGTGACTAAAACGGAGCCTTAAACATGAGTACTGCACTGGATACTATAGCAGCTTGCCAAGCACAAACCACCTTGTGTCAGTAACCTCTTTGGCCTCCTGTTTATAAAACTCTGGACTTACACAGCACAGCAGAGAACCATGCTACTTTACCCATTTTATTGTTTGCTGTGATTTGACACCTGTTACAGAAGCATCACTGAAAGTCAATCTAGAAATTTTATCTAATCTCATGTCTATAATTTAACAAACTAGGATCACACTTCTAGACATAACTAGGGTTCAGTCAGTTTCACACCAGCACTGCCAAAGGAGGGAGAGGGGGCAGCGTGGGGCTACTTGTCATCCACCTCTCTCTCTAGTCCCCCTACTTGTTTCCTCCACCTAGCATCAATGCATAGTGAAACTAGGATGTTCGAGAGGATTCACACACACAAAAAAAAAAAGACAAATGTTAACCTGCTTTGGACACACATACTTCTTTATAAAAGCTATTGTAAATCTCAAATGCAAAGCTGATATAAAATCATAACAGCATATGCTATATTTTAGATCTTCTTGGTTTCAGAGATGCAGAAATTACATTACTCAATCCCAACCAGGAGTACTCCATAACATTTCACTGAATTCAGATAAACATTTCCAAATATTTGCTTTAATTGTGCCACTTACAAGCAACCAACATTTTCATAGGTTTTGCAGGTCACCATTCAAATATTTTTATAAGGTTGCTGAGAGTCCTTGGCAAGAATCACATCAACATCAGCAATATCTACTGAATGTTAAGGCCTTGTCTGCACTACGGGGGGTAAGTCGATCTAAATTATGCAACTCCAGCTACGTGAATAACGTAGCTGGAGTCGACTTAGCTTAGGTTGACTTACTGCAGTGTCTACACTGTGCTGTGTCAACAGGAGATGCTCTCTCGGTGACTTCCCTTACTCTTCTTGTTCTGGTGGAGTACCGGAGTTAACGGGAGAACGATCTGTGGTCGATTTAGTGGGTCTTTACTAGACCCGCTAAATTGACCCCCAGTGCTTTGATCACCACAGCGTAGATACCCGGTAAGTGTAGACATGCCCTATGTTTGAAGGCTATTATTATTTTTTTACTAGTTGCAGTAGTCAGCCTCATTAAAGTAGTCTGCCATAGTTTCAATGAAACTTCTCAGCATTCACAACGCTGACATATTCAAAATACACGAGGCCTGTGACATCAGTCCAACTACAGAAGTCTGCTGAAGCTGAGTCATTAAGATCAGGGAGGGATTTTTTTCTTCTTCAGTGTACTGCACTGTTGTGTATTTATCAATAAATGCTACCAAAACAGTCAAAACTCCTTTTATTATACGATCTCCCTCCTCCCCACGCTACAAATTCCACAGTTATGAAATGTAATTAACAGTAGCACATGGTGTGGGACTACAGACTACACGTCATGGATTTAAGCGAGGGGGAGGGTTAAACTACTAACATGTTGATTATTTCTCTTAATCTTGCTGCGGGGGCCATTTAATAAGTGTTGCCGATGTTGACGTTATTTTGCCAAATGTATTTTTATTCATCTTTAATACTTTTTATAAAGAGTATTTGAGCATCAGAAATCTAAACACAATGGAGGAGCAGACTGTGTAGCTTTTTAAATGGCATCCTTCAGGGATGCTGCATGGAATTTATCTTTAAGTAGTAAATTATGGATATTAAGCAGGTTGATAACATCCCCATAAGCAGGAACTCTAGACTAAATCTGAGCATGCTGCAATACCTAGACAAATCTTTGGGACTGAGTTCAGCTTTAAATTTTAAACAAATGTATCTGTGCGTATAACTAAGTTTTCTTGTGTTTTGTCACCAGTACTTACCATGAACTTCAATTACACATCAAAAGGCATTACCATATTTTGCCAAAGAGAATAAATATGACTGTGCCTTGTTCAAAAAATTAAATTTTAGTTTAGAAAGGTGGAGGACATTCTTTGACAGCTGTATTTACAGAATCTGCATATGCAGTATAGGTAGATAAGCATTTTACAGATGAGGGGTTTTGTCTATATAAACTATAGCTGCAAATTTAAGTTCTTGGCTAAGACCTACTTAAACTTTGAAATTTTATGTTTTGCAAAGCAAGAAATTGAGGCAGAGCAAAATTATGTATATTTTTTAAAAAGTCAGCTGTAAAGAGAAATTAAACGTTTTACAGCTCTCAAGGCTAGATCATCATCATCAAGTCTAACCTCCCATATAACAGGTATAGAATTTCACCCAATAATTCCTACAGCAAGCCCATAACGTCTGGTTATCCTAAAGCATTTTCCTTTCCTTAAAAACGTTGTTTATCACTTCTTAGTGGTATTTTTGTAGCTATGTCGTAAACTAATCTCCTTCCTCTGTTTCCATCCTTCATTTTCACTGAAAATGAATTAAAGTAGAAAGGCACATTAAGCAATACATTGAAAATGGATTTAGACAGATTGCTGTAAATAGCCCCTTCTGTTGTCTACCATGCTTTTACTTAACATTCTGCCAAAGGAATCGATTAGCATTCAAATGGCCAAACATACAAAAATGGAATTTTAATCTTTTGTTTAATCACTATTTAGTGTGCCTGGCTCCAGCCAGAATAAATGGAGAGGATGGAGATGTAAGCCAACTGTTTTCTGTATGAGGAAAGAAGATTTGAAGTACACCCTCTAATCACAGTGTTGCAGTTTTCAAAACCTGTTCGGCAAACATTTTTTGGGACTGAATCTGGAAGAAACAAGAAAAGAGCAGCAGTATACAAAGACAAAGTTCTATAAGCAGTGAGGTTACCATTTTGTCCCCAAACTCATGTATTACAAATGTATTCATGCAAATACACGAGTTCTGCTGTAAGTTACAGTATGGGTTTGTACTCTGCAGAAGGTGCTGACCAAAGCAAAATAAGAGGAGGAAGCAATGTTCCCTTTAATTTTTTACATCCATGTGCGGAATGAATTTTGTTATGTGCACCAATATGGAAGTGATGTGTGGTGGGGGTGGGGCCGAGGGGTTCAGAGTGTGGGAGGGGGCTCAGGGATGGGGCAGAGCGTTGGGGCTCTGGGGTGGGGCCCAGGGATTAGGGGTTTGGAGTGTGGGAGGGGGCTCAGGGCTGGGACAGAGGATTGAGTGCAGGGGGTGAGGGCTCTGGCTAGGGGTGATGGCTCTGGGGTCGGACCAGGGATGAAGTACAGGCTGCACCGGGGCTGCAACAGGGAGAGAGGACTCCCCCCAGCCCTCTCATGCTACCGCAGCCCCAGGGTCTTTCTTGCCAGCTGCGGCAGCCGCGGAGCCGAGGCACCTCTCGCCAGTTGCGGCGGCTCCGGGGTCATGGGAGAGGCGCCTCTCCCACCGCGTGTCTGCACGGCCACACAGCTTAGCGAGAACATAGGGAGGAAGGAATACTTCCGTCAACCATTGCAAAAAAGTTAAGACTGGATGTAGAGCCATAAAGATATGTTAAGTAAGTTAACAGGTTAATGACCTAAACAAACAGTCGTGAATTACAGACTGGAGGAAAGCTTTAGTTAAGAGGCCCCAGTCAAGGTTGAGCTCTTAAACTGAACCAGTCTTGACAACTGTCCACTACTTTAAATCTTTTTACGCCATGTAGAGGAGAGGGGAGAACAGGACAGTGAGGCAGAACTGGAATGGCCAGCAGTGGCAGCAGAATTTCAGCAAGGTCACTCTCCTAGAAGTCTGGGCAGAGCATCCTGGAGCTACAGTGGCAGAATACCAACACGAGAGTTCCCCCTAGCATGTTGAAATCATCATCTGGAAGCTCACCAACCCTAATTGCTACTTGGCAGTAGCAAACCAGTTTGGTGTTGGTAGATCAAAGATCAGAGACTTTCTGAATGTTATGGAGAGCCAGAAAACCTATCTCTGCAGAATGTCCGAAGCGGTCAGAGAATCAGTCATGGACACATTGTGCTCCCACTTTGGAGATGGAGGTAATGAATATATAGGTAATGAATGTACCATAATCAAGAAATGACTGAAGTATGTATTGATTTTATTAACAACAGATACTACTGGGGGGTTGGGGGGTGGGGTGGGGAGAGAATAGGTTATGTAATGGCCGGGTTGAACTGTACCTCAATGAAATTATGCAGCTCAGTTACTCCAAAATAGCTTTCTTTGACAGGGTAACAAGCATTGTGGATAGATGTGGTATATCTTGAGTTTAGTAAGGTTTTCAATACTGTCTCTCATGACCTTCTCAGGAGCTACTACAGGTGGGTGCATAACTGGCTGGAAAACTAAAAATACCCGTGACTAAAATGTAGGCTTAAACATGAGTACTGCACTGCGTACTACAGCAACTTGCCAAGCACAAACCACCTTGTGTCAGCAGCCAGAGAGTAGTTATCAGTGGTGCACAGTCAAGTTGTAAAGGCATATTGAGCGGGGTCCCACGGGGATCAGTTCTGGGTCTAGTTCTGTTCAATATCTTCATCAGTGATTTAGATAATGACAGAGAGAGTACACTTAAGGTTTGTGGATGATACCAAGCTGGGAGGGGTTACAAGTGCTTTGGAGGATAGGATTAAAATTCAAAACAATCTGAACAAACTGAAGAAATTGTCTCAAGCGAATAGGATGAAATTCAATAAGGACAAATGCAAAGTACTCCACTTACGAAGGAACAATTATTTCCCATTTTGTATGTGTGCAACTGACTGCCTAGGAAGGAGTACTGTGGAAAGGGATCTTGGGGTCATAGTGGATCAGAAGCTAAATATGAATCAACTGTGTAACACTGTTGAAAAACAAAAACAAAAAACCCCCATCACTCAGGGATGCATTAGCAGGAGTGTTATAAGCAAGACACAAGTAGTAATTATTTTGCTCTATTCCGCACTGATTAGGCATCAACTGGAGTATTGTGTCCAGTTCCAGGCACCACATTTCAGGAAAGATGTGGACAAACTGGAGAAAGTCCAGAAAAGAGCAACAAACATGATTAAAGATCTAGAAAACATGACCTATGAGGGCAGATTGAAAAAAAATGGGTTTAGTCTGGAAAAGAGAAGACTGAGAGGGGCCATGATAATAGTTTTCAAGTACATAAAAGGTTGTTACTAGGAAGAGGGAGAAAAATTGTTTTCCTTAACCTCTGAGGATAGGACAAGAAGTAATGGGCTTAAATTGCAGCAAGGATGGTTTAGGTTGGACATTAGGAAAAACTTCCTGTCAGGATGGTTAAGCACTGGAATAAATTGCCTAGGGACGTTGTGGAATCTCCATCATTGGAGATTTTTAAGAGCAGATTAGACAAATACCTGTCAGGGATCGTCTAGATAATACTTAGTCCTGCCTTGAGTGCAGGGGACTGAACTAGAAGACCTCTCGAGGTCCCTTCCAGTCCTACGATTCTATGAAAATGAATATGAGTTAAACGTAGATAGAACACTACTTGAATAAAAAACAAAAAGAACAGTTGACCAGAAGTGTGGTGCAAAAATTAAGACTAATGGAACTGAGGCATGGCCAAACGAAGGATTGCTCAGCTCCTGTAGTTGATGTAATCAAAAGGGTTGTCCCCCCTCCAGGGGGTGGGCAGGTTGCTGTGGGAAAGTCCTGTAATTATGTTGACTGAAATGGTGGTCCCAATCAATAGGGTGTTCGCTCCATAGTTTGCAGGACATTGCAAGATTGGGGTGCAGTGCTTGACATTTTTAACAAAAAGACTAACCACCATAGCTGTTTGCTGCTGCAATGTCTGAATCATGGCCCTCTCCAAGGCAATACATTCCCCCGTCCTTCCCCTTTGATCATTTGTGAATGCTCCAAGAAACCACCCCTCCACACTTCTGCCTCCGGGGCCCTCTCTTGAGACAAATTCATTAGTTCCTGGAACATTTTCTCTTTTCCCCTTACTGGAGGCACAGAAGTTCAAAGCATCAGCTACAGGACAGATCCTAAAGTCTGCAGGCTTAGGGTATGTCTACACTACAGAATAAGGTCGAATTTATAGAAGTCGGTTTTTTAGAAATCGGTTTTATATATTCGAGTGTGTGTGTCCCCACAGAAAATGCTCTAAGTGCATTAAGTGCATTAACTCGGCGGAGCGCTTCCACAGTACCGAGGCTAGAGTCGACTTCCGGAGCGTTGCACTGTGGGTAGCTATCCCACAGTTCCCGCAGTCTCCGATGCCCATTGGAATTCTGGGTTGAGATCCCAATGCCTGATGGGGCTAAAACATTGTCGCGGGTGGTTCTGGGTACATATCGTCAGGCCCCCGTTCCCTCCCTCCCTCCGTGAAAGCAAGGGCAGACAATCATTTCGCGCCTTTTTTCCTAAGTTACCTGTGCAGACGTCATACCACGGCAAGCATGGAGCCCGCTCAGGTAACCGTCACCCTATGTCTCCTGGGTGCTGGCAGACACGGTACGGCTTTGCTGCACAGTAGCAGCAACCCATTGCCTTCTGGCAGCAGACGGTGCAATACGACTGGTAGTCGTCCTCGTCGTGTCCGAGGTGCTCCTGGCCACGTCGGCTGGGAGCGCCTGGGCAGACATGGGCGCAGGGACTAAATTTGGAGTGACTTGACCAGGTCATTCTCTTTAGTCCTGCAGTCAGTCCTATTGAACCGTCTTATGGTGAGCGGGCAGGCGATACGGACTGCTAGCAGTCGTACTGTACCATCTTCTGCCGGGCAGGCAAGAGATGAAGATGGCTAGCAGTCGTACTGTACCATCTTCTGCCGAGCAGCCATGAGATGTGGATGGCATGCAGTCCTTCTGCACCGTCTGCTGCCAGCCAAAGATGTAAAAGATAGATGGAGTGGCTCAGAACAAGAAATAGACCAGATTTGTTTTGTACTCATTTGCCTCCTCCCCTGTCTAGGGGACTCATTCTTCTAGGTCACACTGCAGTCACTCACAGAGAAGGTGCAGCGAGGTAAATCTAGCCATGTATCAATCAGAGGCCAGGCTAACCTCCTTGTTCCAATAAGAACGATAACTTAGGTGCACCATTTCTTATTGGAACCCTCCGTGCAGTCCTGCCTGAAATACTCCTTGATGTACAGGCACCCCCTTTGTTGATTTTAGCTCCCTGAAGCCAACCCTGTAAGCCGTGTCGTCAGTCGCCCCTCCCTCCATCAGAGCAACGGCAGACAATCGTTCCGCGCCTTTTTTCTGTGCGGACGCCATACCAAGGCAAGCATGGAGGCCGCTCAGCTCACTTTGGCGATTAGGAGCACATTAAACACCACACGCATTATCCAGCAGTATATGCAGCACCAGAACCTGGCAAAGCGATACCGGGCGAGGAGGCGACGTCAGCGTGGTCACGTGAGTGATCAGGACATGGACACAGATTTCTCTGAAAGCATGGGCCCTGACAATGCATGCATCATGGTGCTAATGGGGCAGGTTCATGCTGTGGAACGCCGATTCTGGGCTCGGGAAACAAGCACAGACTGGTGGGACCGCATAGTGTTGCAGGTCTGGGACGATTTTCAGTGGCTGCGAAACTTTCGCATGCGTAAGGGCACTTTCATGGAACTTTGTGACTTGCTTTCCCCTGCCCTGAGGCACATGAATACCAAGATGAGAGCAGCCCTCACAGTTGAGAAGCGAGTGGCGATAGCCCTGTGGAAGCTTGCAACGCCAGACAGCTACCGGTCAGTTGGGAATCAATTTGGAGTGGGCAAATCTACTGTGGGGGCTGCTGTGATGCAAGTAGCCCACGCAATCAAAGATCTGCTGATATCAAGGGTAGTGACCCTGGGAAATGTGCAGGTCATAGTGGATGGCTTTGCTGCAATGGGATTCCCTAACTGTGGTGGGGCCGTAGACGGAACCCATATCCCTATCTTGGCACCGGAGCACCAAGCCGCCGAGTACATAAACCGCAAGGGGTACTTTTCGATAGTGCTGCAAGCTCTGGTGGATCACAAGGGACGTTTCACCAACATCAACGTGGGATGGCCGGGAAAGGTGCATGACGCTCGCATCTTCAGGAACTCTGGTCTGTTTCAAAAGCTGCAGGAAGGGACTTTATTCCCAGACCAGAAAATAACTGTTGGGGATGTTGAAATGCCTATATGTATCCTTGGGGACCCAGCCTACCCCTTAATGCCATGGCTCATGAAGCCGTACACAGGCAGCCTGGACAGTAGTCAGGAGCTGTTCAACTACAGGCTGAGCAAGTGCAGAATGGTGGTAGAATGTGCATTTGGACGTTTAAAGGCGCGCTGGCGCAGTTTACTGACTCGCTTAGACCTCAGCGAAACCAATATTCCCACTGTTATTACTGCTTGCTGTGTGCTCCACAATATCTGTGAGAGTAAGGGGGAGACATTTATGGCGGGGTGGGAGGTTGAGGCAAATCGCCTGGCTGCTGGTTACGCGCAGCCAGACACCAGGGCGGTTAGAAGAGCACAGGAGGGCGCGGTACGCATCAGAGAAGCTTTGAAAACCAGTTTCATGACTGGCCAGGCTACGGTGTGAAAGTTCTGTTTGTTTCTCCTTGATGAAACCCCCCGCCCCTTGGTTCACTCTACTTCCCTGTAAGCTAACCACCCGCCCCTCCTCCCTTCAATCACCGCTTGCAGAGGCAATAAAGTCATTGTTGCTTCACATTCATGCATTCTTTATTCATTCATCACACAAATAGGGGGATGACTACCAAGGTAGCCCAGGAGGGGTGGTGGAGGAGGGAAGGAAAATGCCACACAGCACTTTAAGCACAGCACTTTAAAAGTTTACAACTTTAAAATTTATTGAATGACAGCCTTCTTTTTTTTGGGCAATCCTCTGTGATGGAGTGGCTGGTTGGCCAGAGGCCCCCCCACCGCGTTCTTGGGCGTCTGGGTGTGGAGGCTATGGAACTTGGGGAGGAGGGTGGTTGGTTACAGAGGGGCAGCAGTGGCAGTCTGTGCTCGAGCTGCCTTTGCTGCAGCTCAACCATACACTGGAGCATACTGGTTTGGTCCTGCAGCAGCCTCAGCATTGAATCCTGCCTCCTCTCATCACGCTGCCGCCACATTTGAGCTTCAGCCCGCCACTTACTCTCTTCAGCCCGCCACCTCTCCTCCCGGTCATTTTGTGCTTTCCTGCACTCTGACATTATTTGCCTCCACGCATTCGTCTGTGCTCTGTCAGTGTGGGAGGACAGCATGAGCTCGGAGAACATTTCATCGCGAGTGCGTTTTTTTTTTCTTTCTAAGCTTCACTAGCCTCTGGGAAGGAGAAGATCCTGTGATCATTGAAACACATGCAGCTGGTGGAGAAAAAAAAAGGGACAGCGGTATTTAAAAAGACACATTTTATAAAACAGTGGCTACACTCTTTCAGGGTAAACCTTGCTGTTAACATTACATACATAGCACATGTGCTTTCGTTACAAGGTCGCATTTTGCCTCCTCCCACCGCGTGACTACCCCCTCAACCTTCCCCCCTCCCTGTGGCTAACAGCGGGGAACATTTCTGTTTAGCCACAGGCAAACAGCCCAGCAGGAATGGGCTCCTCTGAGTGTCCCCTGAAGAAAAGCACTCTATTTCAACCAGGTGACCATGAATGATATCTCACTCTCCCGAGGATAACACAGAGAGATAAAGAACGGATGTTGTTTGAATGCCAGCAAACATACACTGCAATGCTTTGTTCTACAATGATTCCCGAGTACGTGTTACTGGCCTGGAGTGGTAAAGTGTCCTACCATGAAGGACGCAATAAGGCTGCCCTCCCCAGAAACCTTTTGCAAAGGCTTTAGGACTACATCTAGGAGAACCGCAAATGCCAGGGCAAAGTAATCCTTTCACATGCTTGCTTTTAAACCATGTATAGTATTTTAAAAGGTACACTCACCAGAGGTCCCTTCTCCGCCTGCTGGGTACAGGAGGCAGCCTTGGGTGGGTTCGGGGGGTACTGGCTCCAGGTCTAGGGTGAGAAACAGTTCCTGGCTGTCGGGAAAACCGGTTTCTCCGCTTGCTTGCTGTGAGCTATCTACAACCTCCTCCTCATCATCATCTTCTTCGTCCCCAAAACCTGCTTCCGTATTGCCTCCATCTCCATTGAAGGAGTCAAACAACACGGCTGGGGTAGTGGTGGCTGAACCCCCTAAAATGGCATGCAGCTCATCATAGAAGCGGCATGTTTGGGGCTCTGACCCAGAGCGGCTGTTCGCCTCTCTGGTTTTCTGGTAGGCTTGCCTCAGCTCCTTCAGTTTCACGCGGCACTGCTTCGGGTCCCTGTTATGGCCTCTGTCCTTCATGCCCTGGGAGATTTTCACAAAGGTTTTGGCATTTCGAAAACTGGAATGGAGTTTTGATAGCACGGATTCCTCTCCCCAAACAGCGATCAGATCCCGTACCTCCCGTTCGGTCCATGCTGGAGCTCTTTTGCGATTCTGGGACTCCATCATGGTCACCTGTGCTGATGAGCTCTGCATGGTCACCTGCAGCTTGCCACGCTGGCCAAACAGGAAATGAGATTCAAAAGTTCGCGGTTCTTTTCCTGTCTACCTGGCCAGTGCATCTGAGTTGAGAGTGCTGTCCAGAGCGGTCATAATGGAGCACTCTGGGATAGCTCCCGGAGGCCAATACCATCGAATTGTGTCCACAGTACCCCAAATTCGAGCCGGCAACGTCGATTTAAGCGGTAATCCACTTGTCAGGGGTAGAGTAAGGAAATCGATTTTAAGAGCCCTTTAAGTCGAAATAAAGGGCTTCATCGTGTGGACGGGTGCAGGTTTACATCGATTTAACGCTGCTAAATTCGACCTAAAGTCCTAGTGTAGACCAGGGCTTAGAAAATTGTCACTCTTATTTACAAAGCACCTTTCACACTAAATAGATGGGCAGTTTACAACTCCTACCACTATAGATTTGTACTAAACAAGTTCTCTTTCTTTTAAAGGAAATTTGAATAGACTCCCTGAATAAGGAAAATGATTTCATAGACATGTTTTAATTACTAAAACACCCTTGCACCAAAAACCTCTAAGTTGCATCTAAAACACAACAGCATATCAATTGTTTAAGATCTTAAAGAGCAGCTGGGGAAGTGATCCCGAGAAAAGTGATCAAATTTGCAGCTACCCTGTATCTCCCATCTCATACATTTACACTGAGAACTCCTGGTACTGAATATTGTCTTGCAATGCTTTCGGCTCTACACACTTGCTGGTCGACTCATCTGCTTCAGGGCCCCCAAGAGTATGATGTTTATCTCAACTAAAAGTCAGTGCACGACTGAACCTCTGGATTTTCAAAAGAGTACTTGTGGCATCTTAGAGACTAACCAATTTATTTGAGCATAAGCTTATGCTCAAATAAATTGGTTCGTCTCTAAGATGCCACAAGTACTCCTTTTCTTTTTGCGAATACAGACTAACACGGCTGTTACTCTGAAACCTCTGGATTTTGGCATGCCGGGTGGCAGCATAGCTTCCCAAATACACACTACTATTTAACCCTCAGACCATGTTTTAATTTGCTAAAAACCCAGCCGGTCTATTTTACTGAATTCATACAGAACAGAATGAAAGTATCTCATTGCTTTAATGTGTTCCTGAATCATTCTGATGCAGCTTTCGTCATCTCTTCCATCAACTATAGCGTCTAAAATCCCTCTAAATAATTTTCTATGTAAATATGCTTCTATGCTGGAGAAAAAGCTTTCTTGGGGGCCTGTCCAACACTATGGAATTAACTCCCCAAGGAACTAAGGACCACCACAAACCTCATCACCTCCGTTCTATATGCAAGGCACATTTCTTTGACCTTGCCTTCTCCAACAGGAGCATAGCAACATGTATTTTTTTAAAATTCCAAAAACACTCCACTGCACACGTCTCCCCCAGGGGAGAGAAGGCGAGAACGAATCTGACAGATGCTAGTCATATTACTTAATGCACGACTGGAAGGTATTCAGATAGTATAGTGATTACAGTGGTGTGAGAACCTTTACAGAACAGTTTTCAGAGTAGCAACCGTATTAGTCTGTCTCCGCAGAAAGAAAAGGAGGACTTGTGGCACCTTAGAGACTAACTAATTTATTTGAGCATAAGCTTTCGGTCAAATAAATTGGTCAGTCTCTAAGGTGCCACAAGTCCTCCTTTTCTTTTTACAGAATAGAAAACTCATTCTGAATGGCAATTTAGAATTTATTTTTTTTTTTTTGCAGTTTATTCTGAAATTTTTTGAAAGGCTTTGTACAATCCCTGGAAACTGTCAAATGAGTCGCATGCTTTCACATATAACTTCCAAACAAACAACTTTTTGTAGCATTTTGCCTGCTGACCCAAAGCTTAGTTTCTTTCCAGAGCTGCAAATTAAAACAAAGTTATGAAATCCTCAAAAGTTGCTGATGAGTTTTCCACCAAATTCACTAATATGCTGAAAAAACTATTTAAAAATAGGACATGCCTTCTATGCACAGAAACAAGTGTTCACTTTCTTGCAAATTGCTTCACAAACCATATTTGAATCACCTCAAATAGCAGTCACCGATTAGAAGCCCATGTATCTGTGCTCCACTTATCTGCAATTAAGAGCTCATGATCTGGAATATCTTCTTTGTAGCAATCCTTTATAGAAGCAGAATAAAACATCATCATGTTTGGAAAACTTACACGTTGACCTGTGGGATTAATCAAATGTTTCTGCATATGCAGAACAATCTGCACTAAGAATTAATATTAAAAGTGCAGGATTCATGAGATTTATAATTCTGTATGAATTCCCTGTATTCGAATTATGTAACTCCTGAACAGATTATAGGAATGTTGAGCCAACTGAGCAATGTGACCAGCTAAAAACAGTGCCTCCAAATATTCCAAAGACTAGTAGAGTATCGTATCTATAGACATTTTAGTAAGGCTGAATGATGATGTGCTTTTGTTTTCTAAAATGACAAGTCTGTAGGAGTGAAATATATATTCACCGTATCCAGACAACTATATCACATCTGAACTCAGCTCTGCGAATAGGTGAATTGAGCAAATCTGTCTATATTACTATAAATTTAACGGTCAAATTAAAGAAACAGCCTAATGTTTCCAACAGTCTCTAAACAAGCAGGACTACGGGAATGTAGCAAATTCTATGGAAAGTTTGCCCCAAATTCCATAGAGAAGCAAGTGACTTTTTTGATCTCAAGATGCAGGAAGGAGAGAAAACTTATTTAAGGGGACTCGGCACAAGAGGAGTGCCACTGCAAAGCTGATGAAGCGTTGTGTCCCCCGGGAATCTGCTGTGACCATGGGACGCAGGATTGTAGTAACATTCCAAGAGCCAGTGAACCCAGTAAGGAAGAAGATCCATCTGCTACTGACCCGGATGGGGAAGAGAATGGTGCATCCTCATTTTAGGCTTTTCTACAGGAAAAAATAATACTGCGGTAAGTCTTACAGAATGTGATAAGCACTGGGTGTGCATACTGGACTGCTGGGCTACCTGTATTTTGTGATCATAAGAACATTCATGATTAGGATGCAAGTTAGATCATTTGCATCACAAGCTAAATAAATCCACCTCTCCCCCCCCCTCCAGTTTGAGTTAGACCAAGATGTTTGAACATGAAGGGTTCGTCAAATATTATTTATCTTTCACAATAGTAATCAAAATGGTGGTAGGATTGTGTCAGAAGTCAGTATGCTACGAACTGTCAGCATGATGTGCATAACCGCCACAAAAAATGCTCAACCAGACACTGGTAGCAGAAAGAATGGGGAACAGCAACCATGTTCAGCAAAAATATGGCCAACCCTTGCCTGATCCACAAAAATCAACAGGCAGACTACAAAAATTCCACTGCCCTTGCGATGAGCGAAGATATGCCAAGATGTGAAGCACGCTTGTCTTCAGAAAAGGTATCACACTTGGTTCTAAATGCTTCAAGAGAAAAGTTAAATTCAGTGACTGATATTGAGTTACATGCAACTCACATAAACGGTATTACAGAACAGCCTTGTGGAAGATCAAAATAGCAAGGCCATTATGCTCATTTTACTGTGTCACGTAATCAGATCACCCATTTTATTTCTGAATGTAAGCTGCACTTTTAAAAGATTGTTTTAACAAAAATTAGCTAAAATTTTCCACGCCATTTTCAAAAACACTAGAAAAAACATGACTACAGTACAGCCTTTTATTAAACTCAACATACTGAGCAATTTAATGGAAGAAACAAATGCATGCATCTCTGCAACGTTAGGGATTGTACATGTCTTGCACCAGCCAATAGAGCGCAAAGCGCCCCAAAATCCACTTAGAAATCCTCTGCATGGAGATTGCCTACCACTTAATCCTTTCAGCTATAGCGATAAACAGTCTTCCTGAGTGGTCTCGTCCTCAGCAGGTAGAAGGCCACGGTCCTGCAGACGTCAAGGGAGTGAAGGTGCTGCTCCCCTGGGGAGCTATGAGGATTCAGAAAGAAAGTAGGTAAGTGTATGGGTTGGTTGAGATGAAAGCAGGATGCAACCTTTGGCAGACACTTGGGGTACAGGCACAGGAAAACTTTGTCCCCATGGAACACAGTGAAAGGGGGGAGGGTCTGGCATAATGGTCCCCAGTTCACCTACTCTTCTTGCAGAAGTAATAGCTACCAGGGCCGCAACCTTCATGGAAAGGAGGGATGGGACCATGAAGCCAGTGGCTCAAAGGGTGGTTTCATTAATGTTGAGAGAACAAGGTTGATGTTCCATTGGGGAGCGATAAGTTAAACAGGTTGAAAGGTTCTGACGAGACCCTTCCAAAATCTGGTAGTCAATGGATGTGTAAATATGGAGTGTCCTTCTGTCGGGGCAGATGAGGGGGGCATTGACAGCAGCTACATGGACCTTAACAGAATTGAGAGCGAGTCCCTACATCTTCAAGACCGGAAGGTATTCCAAAAGAAGGGGAATGTCCACATCCTCAGGGGCAAATCTTGTGGAGGATTTGTGGCAAGAGTGGTAGAGGGGGAAAGGCATAACTGATTTGGTCCGACCAGCAGAGGACAAGGGCATCGCCTTGGGAATGAGTGCCGAGCCACCCCCCAACCCCTAACAGCAATACATGGTGCACCTACTGTTGGAGTGGAAGGCAGAGAGGTCCCTGGATGGAATCCCTCACAGGCTGAAAACCTTGTTGACTTCAGTGTCTTGAAACTCCCACTCATGATCAGCCACAAATTTTCTTCTGAGAGAGTCTGCAAACACTTTGAGTCCCTGGAAGATAGGCCATTGATAACAGGATATTATGACCAATGCACCAGTCCCACAGAGGAACCTCTTCCACACAGAGTGTAGTCTACCTCGTTTCCCCCCGCCCCATTTGTCGATGTAATAAATGGTGGCCCTGTTGTCGGACATGATGAGAGTGAATGGATGGAAGAAATGCGCAACACATTCTCCAACATCCTGGAGCTTCAGGCGGTATGATGTGCATTCTGGATTCCCAAGACGTCCCAGTCCTTTGCATCATGTGCTCACCCATGTGGGCACCCCATCTGGCGAGTGATGTGTCCATGATGATCATCATGTTCAGGGAGGATGGGACGAAAGGCATCCCCGCGCAGACCTGTCTTGGGTCCGTCCACCACTAGAGGGAAGAGAGCACCTTGGGGGAGACTGATGGCAGAAAGTCCATGATATGTCACATGGATGAATAGATTCTCTGGAGCCACGGCTGAAGACCGCGAAGTCCGAGGTGAGCAAAGGTGGGGACGCATGTGTAGGCTACCATGTGGCCAAGGAGGGATAGGCAAGTCTGAACCGGAACAGGGAGGACTGTTTACTACTCGGATAATGAGTTCCTACAGGGCCTGAAACCTATCCCTTGGTAAGCAGGCTCGTGCTGAGACCACGTCATCGGAGGCCCCTATGAAATCCAAAGACTGTGAGGGAACCAAAGTCAATTTTTAGACATTTACGCTTAACCCTCAGGGGGAAAGGAGCTGGAATAACATGGAGGTCAAGGCTTGAGCCTTGTCCCTGGATCATGCTGCTTGCTGCCAGTCTTCGAGATAGGGAATAAGGACCCCATGATGCCAGAGGTGGGCCACTATGACAGAGAAAACAGGCGAAGACCCATGGAGCAGTGGTGAGTGTGAATGGGAGGACCCTGTATTGGAAGTGCATTTTCATAATTCTGAATAGTCTGAAGCCATTTTCAGCATAAATTAAGCTTCCAGGCTTCTAACCACGAGGACTGATGGTGTACTAACATGCTGCTTTGCATTGCTGAACTAGCTAGCCTGAACAGTCCCTCTGACTGAACTGGAAAGTTATTTTAGTAGCTCAAATAATGAGGAGAAT